TTCTTCTAATTCCCCCAGAGCATAAGTGCTATCTAATATATCCTAACAGTAATTAGGATTCTGTCGTTTTCCACCTCCAGAGAGCGCTGCACCGCTCTATATTCGGAGAACTTGGCCACGCAATCATCTCTATCTATTCTGTTAGGCTTGATTATAACCAGAGTATTCTCTTCTCTGTTTCTATCGACGAGATTGCTCGTGGTGAAATGGTCTTTCGGTCACTCCTCCCTTTCATTGATTGTAAAAAAATCTGCGGAGATCTTGTAGGGTTTCTACATGATGGTACTAATTTTGTTAGAACATCTTTGACCCCGCCTGACTACCGATAGTCCGTACCTCTACATCATGGTCAGAATCCGTATCTACGCTCTTGTGGGCCAGTTGTGGTGTGTGTTTTGTAATCATACCTTCATCTGATCTTTGGTCCCACCAGATATTTTATCCATCATCAATTTTGAAGGTCTCCCCCGAGTTATAGTGATATTTTGCCTGTTCTGCGTTTATCCAGAATCACAAGCAATTTTCTTTCTTCTTCTGCGAGTTATAGATGGTGTTCCGATACTCAATCCGCAAGGGTTCCTGTTGTGGTCTTAGTGCTATGTTTCAGCTCCTTCGGGATTTTGGCCGTTACGAGAGCGGTCAGGTTATCGGCATATGCCAGCAATCCTGTAAGAGGGAGATTTAATGAATAACGCTCTTATACACTACATTACATAAGGTAGGCTCTAGAACTAATCACCGTTAAACACTCATACTTGTTTCTACCTTCTACCCTTCGACTCTAATTGCCCTGTCCTCGAGAAAACTCTTGACTGCTCTTACCAGATTGCAGGGTGTCTTTGAGATTTGAAGGGACTCCACGATAAATCCATCTGGCGCAGTTGAAAGCGTTTCTTGCTTCAAAGGTTAGGAGCTCGGCTAGCCTCTATAGGTGTTGGTAGGAAACCCCCTTTTTTCCTTCGGTCCATTCCTTCAGCTTCATGAGTGTGTCTACCTTTGAGCGCTTCCTTTTGAAGTCATACTGTGTTTCTTCTAGGTGAGTCGCTTATTCGTTGTTTATGACCATTTCATATAACTTGCCCGAAGATGTTTGGAAGGCATGTAAGTTAGAATTCGCCTCTACCTTCTTTGGGAATTAGGACCAGAGTGGCCTCTTTCCATCCTGGGGGCATCACCCCACTTCTGAAACAGAAATAAAACGCAATTTGGATGATGTCCAAGATATCCTCGTTAACAACCGGCAGCAGTTTTGCATTTTGAAATTTTCGTAATGCGATTATTATGTTCTCTGTTGTGATGGGATCATCAGCCTCCTTGATAGTCGGTTTCCTTCACCACACTTTCTCTCCTGCTGGAAATAGTTTTCTGGCCTCGCTTGTCGCTTGTTATGGGGTCAGAAAAGTACGCTTCTAGTTTTTTAAGTGATAATTCCCATTTTTTTTGTCTTTCCCTTCAAACTTTCCTTTCCGAAGTCCTCTGCATTTTCCTTCTAAGTATAGTGCATTTGCCTCTTTGTGCTGATACATTATTGCTCCACCAGTAATTATTTGGACTGGAAACGCCACTCTCTTTTCTGGGGAAAACACTGACGACTTGTTTGAACTAGGATTTTTATAATTGCCTTGGGTGTATTGGGACATCTCCTCTTAGTTTTTTACCCCGTTGTTGTATAAATAATGTAAAATCATTGATGCCTTTCTTTGTAACAAACAGTTTATTCGGTTGACGGCCTTTCTGACTTGTTTTCGTCCTCATGCTTAAGCCTGTCTTCAAAATTGTGCACCAAATCCACTTATGGTCGCTTAGAGTCTCGCGATCTAATACCCTCCATTCAGTCTTGTTTTTCTGGTAAAGTCGGACTGTGAAAAATAGGTGTGGGCAGATTGCACCAGGTGAACCCTTCTCCCTCGAACCGTACCCAATGTGTGTCAATGAGGCATTTCTCATCAAGATGACCGCGTCCTTGTTCTCGTCATGAATCCATTGATCTCGTGGTAGATATATTCTGTTTGGTTTCGGAACAATCAGTAAGTCTGCCCCTAGTTCAATTTCAGTCAACTCAATCAGTTCAGTGATATATCTTGTCCTCGAGTTCCATTTCATTCTTAAGTGCCCCCTTTATAGGAGATCTAGACGAGTGATTTAGATCTAGTTCGATTGGTACAATGTGAAGCGACCATATGTCACCCTTTCCCGTAGCGAATGTGCTCTCCAACACTGGTCAACCTCTTCTGTAGTAATAGTCGGGTCAACATCTCTGATGAGGATTGCCATATTCGAGGATTTTATCTTAATAATCTCATGGTTACCCAGAAATCGCCCACTTCCTTTATATGACGGAACTAGGTTTCCGTCCAAATTTGGACAGGCTGTTGTAGTTCATTTATATTTGCAGATTTATGATTGGATTGATGTATGCGCTTGTGAATTTTCACTCCCAATTAAGCTTGGTAGTACCTATGTAGTTATTCTCTTAGAAATTGGGTTGCTTCTCTCTGAGTGAGGGAAAATTGCTGATACCTGGTACGGGCTTTTCAATATGATATTGTAAGAACTTCGTTTCTGCCGTTACTACTTGGGTCCTTTAATGCTGGAATGGGTTTTTTCTTTTAGGTTTTAGTGTCTCTTATTTTGCCTCTACTTTTGATACTACTCCTTGGATGTTCTAGACCTTTTCGTTGGATTTATCTCGATTGGGGTATTTCAATATACTGCTTTTGTTTTTGTAACGGCGTTTATCGTTGCCTTGAATACATTAAGTTCTTACTCGGTCAAATAGATTCAGGAAAACTCGTGACTGTGCTATATTAAGGCAATTTATTGTGTTTTATATTCTTTTTCTTGACAAAGGAAAACTTTTTCAGATGGTAGAGAACATTATTCACAAAGGAATTTCGTAAAAACACTTTCTTACAAAGTAACGTACATAATCTGAACATTGCACCAAAACTATTCTATTATCAACTATACCACATGGTATGAAGTCGTGTATGGAAGCTAGTTGATTATAAATTCACAAAGTTACATTTCGTTACATTGTTTTGGTCGTCAATTAGGTAAATGTAAAGAGGATTGAAACATCAGAGTTCAGACAAGAACACCAATGAACTGGGTTGCTTAATGTAGGTAGTATTTCGTCGAAGATTAGAAAGAAGCTGAAAGCATTTCGTGAAATACAGACATACAAATAGGAAATTGCACTAGAAGGCTATCACATTTACATTTAACTTTAAACGTCAAATGAACCCACCAGTGGCTTAAAAATAGAATGGCAGAACGGTCAAAATACAACGGACTCCCATCTCGAGAGGCCATGAAGATAGGAGGAACGCAACATTTATTACAAAAAATATAATTTTGTATTTAATTAATTAACAATATACACGAATTATATAAGTAAATTATTAAGATTTCAACAGTTTTATAAGAAAAAGATGTCGCTAAGTTTTAGAACGTATCTACTGCGCTTAGTTAATTTTTTTGCCGCGGCACTTTTTCGTGGCGCAGGCTAATGATTTTCCGGGAATATCGGCTTCCTATTTTTGAGGAACGTTCATGCGCCACGATACAGTCAAATGTGTACCAACTTTATAACGATTTATAAATTTTGCTGCAATAGCAGGGCCCGACAACAGTGAATATCCAGATCCGGAACAACGACAACCAGGTACGAGCAACAAAAAAAATGTTTGGTATAGAAATTGGAAAATATTTAATGTTTGCCGTATGTTACTGACAAGGGTAATTCTTTAGTGCTACTAATTATCTGTATTTTTACAATTATTTTAATTCAAAAACTTTTCCGTTTAGTTAGATTTAGTGTTATTATTTACTTTCATTACATTTCAAATTTCTTTGTTCCTTTGTTCAGTTCAACTTCCCTCGACACCCTCTCGTCTATGACGACATTCAGGAAATTCCTATTTTATCCACCACCATGATATGTTTCAATTAGACTCCACCCCCTTTGTTAGTTGTTCTCTAGTTTTAAGTAAATTTAATGTTGTTAGAAAGTACTACAAATGGCGCAGTAAACGCCATCTGTAGCACGATGCTACATTTTCGGATTACGTATGCTCCAACAAGGTCCACTTGTGTGGATATCTACTTGCTGAAAACGAATCCCGGCGTAGCCAACCTCAACGTGATAGGCACGTTAGCTTAATCGAATAAAATAATTCGAAAGTGGTCTGTATATATGTTATACATTTAGAGGAATATTTGTAGGATTAATTTCAATTCATGTGCATCAATTTTTAAATGCACATAACCTTAAATCAACGATGAAAAATTGTTGCTGCTGTCACGCCCTCGCCGGGAATCGAATCCAGGTCCGTGGCATTACACTTTAGTATTGTTACATTGGTTCTACCTGTGACTACGTAGTTAGGTACGTATCGTCGTTTTTGCGGCTGTCACCTGTCGTAGCTTAGCGGTAGAGCACTTTTCTTCGTTGATTTCAGGTTATCTGTTGTGGTAAAAATTAATTAAAAAATTAATTCACTTTAATGTTATACACGTCACTGTTTGGTACTTCGGTTTTCGATAATCACATGAACCGTGCGTGACTGTCTTTATATTTAATCTACTTTGAAAATGAACGGATTATAGACAATCAGATAACCCAACTGCTTCTACTCCGTGACACAACGGCTTGACATTAATTATGACAAATAATAATAAAATAATTACTTTTTTCTTTATTCCTTTTTGCAGACGTATTCACACAGACACGTGTAGTAGTAGCTCATTGGAATAATAATCGTTTTTCTTTTAATATTTAGTAGAATACGGTGCTGGAATCCTATCGTTTCCTTTATTTTATATAACTAGCTAATGACATTCAATTAGAATTAGACGATACTTTCAATTATTGTTTATTTTTACTATTATAAGCCACCAATGGTTGCGGTTAGGCATTAAAGTACAATAAGTATATTTTTTAGTTTATATATATTAAATGTGGTACACTTACATATAGAAGGATAAGGATCCATTTAATAGTAATAATGGTCTATTTATAAAGTAACTTCAGTGTATAAGGAACATTTAAGAAACAACAGCATCACTGTTTGCCGAGATCCAATCTAAATATGATGTTATCCTCGAGAAAATGGATGGATCTTCAGCCTCACAACCGTTATAGCCTACAGATGAAGTTATGCCAACCTGTAGCAGAAACAAGAAAGAATAACAATATTGTTACGTGTCAGTAATTTCAGTAGATTTTAGTAGACACTTAATTATTTTTTTGGGAAGAAAAAAAAAATAAATCAAAACTCTATAGTATATTCGCAAGCAAGAGTGGCTATATACTATGAAACAGATCTTCTGTTTAGTGACCTCGCCGGTGATTAATAGGAAAGAATAAATTTTATTTAGAACGAAAGTGTCTCAATTTAAGCACGGCCATTACACAGCCCAAACAAATTCACGTTTGTAATAGTAGGTATAGAGCTATACTTCTCTTAGTTTCTCTAGCGATGTGACCTTTAGTTTGACCGACGCAAAGTAGAAAAGAACAGCACTAGGCCAGAAAAGAAAGGAGACAACTCTCAGCCAAACTCTTAGCCGGTGAGGAGCGTATAATCCGTACAGTACTGCACGGAAAAATTGACCATTTTATACACTAAAATTGCATTTCTCCAATGTGTTGTTATTGGTACCAATTACTACTGAAAATATCAAAGAGATGTTTATTTATATGTGAAAACATATTAAAGGCTTTAACGCTTGTTTTCGACTCGCACTTTTATTCATGATTGAAGAAAACTTTTGGCAGGTACTGTATGAAAAAGTATGTTTAATGAACAAGAAATGAGAGTATAATGAGCTTTTTACTCCCTACGTACGATTTTTCCAGCGCGCATTCAAGATATTGGAAGGGGCACATCGCTAGAGAAAGTAAATAAACTATACCAAAAGTTACAACGTTCACCGAATAGTCTCAATGAAGACCTGATGCGTATAAATATACAGACGCATATGTATTCGTTTACTATTTTGAAAATGATATACTACATTTACCAATTTTCCATTGACTACAAGAGGTCCGCCTGCATCTCCAAGACAAATCCCTTTTACGCCCGCTCCTCCAGAACAAATGAGTTTGTCTGTAATGTTAACGAACATTACGTTACACACGTCGGTTGCTATAATGGAAACATTGACAAATCGCAGTATGTCATTGACAGCGGTTTCAGAATCAGTATCGTATCCCCAACCACTTGCTACTGCCTCGGATCCCACGAAACTATCTGAAACGTCGGCTCTACTGGGAAGTGGAATCAGTTGAACGTATTCTGTGAAAAATTGAATTAAGTTTGGTAAAAAGCAAACATTAATCGCGGAATTTGTAGGTATCCACAAGTCTAGGGCGTAAAAAGAATTCAAAAAATGATAAGTGCGAATGTTAGATTATTGAAGTGGCTTTACTTTAAGACGATCTTATCTTAACTTGTTCAAGCTACTCCGGATGTAGCTACGTAAGCATTAATCAGATATTAAAAAGCCTGAAGAAATCTAAAGAAAGTTGCAGAAACGTTCCGTGTCAGATTATTTGATTTTTAGTTTAATTACTTTAATTAATAAGTTAAAATGAATGAAGTAAATTATCAATAAAGTAAGAGTGGTTACGATTAAGGCTGGCTGGTGTTGGAAGGTAGACGATGCCTAAATCATTCTCCAGTGTTTCAGCATTGTACTGTTCATGTACTTTGAACGTGGAAGTTGGAATATGTTGCTGGGTGGATTCATTTTGACGAAAGTTATGCGCTCCCAGAATTACTTCTAACGATACAACTCTGATCAAAAAAATAGAAAAGCAAATTCCAACAAAATCTGAAGACAACAATTAAGAGAAAATGCCTTACCCATCCACTAAGCAATGCGCAGCTGTTAACACGTATCTTCTGGTGATAATAGATCCTCCACAAAAACCGGCATCATTCGTATCTTCTTCGTCGTAAAAAAGGATTAAAGCTGCCTAAATAAATAAAAATAGTGTTTTGCAAACCAGCAATTTATTCGCGCCGAACTTTCATATCTCCTGAATTTTAATCGAGCCCCCTTTAATTTCTTCCCCTAAAACTTTTAGAGTCCCCTAAATTTTTCCTCTAAAATTCTCCAAATTTGGGAAAGAATGGCCCAAGACGTGGAAAAAAGTATTACCAACGGAACAACAAAAACGAACTCATAAACTACATTATATGTATATATATACAGTGCTTGTTAACTTCCAAAAATTCTGATCAAACGTTAAATATTACAAATATTTTCAATGCTTACTTGATATGGTATAGAGTTTGGTACAACTACGTCTCCTCCCACGATCCTGTCTTCAGAGGATGCAAACTGGTCGAGTTCTCTGTGAGTTGTTTCACCAGCAGGTAAAATCTTAGCCCAATCCCTAGTTGCGTGAACCTGTAAGTAACACAAAAATTAAGTTGACGATTGATCTAGACTGCCAAATTAATATCACTGCTTTACCGTAACTAAGGAGAATGTTATAAAAATCAATACAATTTCCTTCATTTCTGCTTGTGATAGAGGTACTGTATGAATTTTCATAGAAACTCGTCTTATAAAGCTATCTTTAAAGTACTTCTGTTGATAAAATTCTTGTTAAGCTGTCAGATTCTTTAGATAAATATGTTCCTCTAATATTAAAGTTGCTTATAAAAAATTCCAATTCCATTCTAAGAAATTTAGAACTGCCAGAATCAATAATAAGAATGTATTATTTAGATGTATCGACAGATTTCGTTCTGTCAAATGTTATTAGCCTATAATATAAAAAATAAATAAATAAGATTTATTTCAGAGTGATCAATTTATTTATTGATTTAATGCAGAGTCGGGCAAACTCGGCTCTTTTGCCTCCCGAGTGCTCCTCAGGTACAGCCAAGGAGCTCCTCATTGATCCTGCGAGTGCGAGTGAGATGATTCTTTCCTTTTCTTATCCCTTCCATTTCATAGTGAGCCCCTCTTCCACAGCCAAACCCAATAGTTTTGCGAACGAAAACTTTCGTAGGTATTATTTAAGTTGCGAGAGAGGCTTGGCTCGTCTAAGGGATGAAGGGGCTTGATATGGGAGTGGAAGGGAGAAGAAAAAGAGAAAGCAATATGGCTCATTACTGCATACTCTCTCGTACTCATTGAAGGGTATGGAGTGACCCAAACTAACCTCAGATAGCGGCTCCTACGAAGCTAAAGTTTGTTCGGTTCTGATTTAATGTCTCAATAATAAGCAACTATTACTTACAGAAGTAAGTTTTCTATTCCGTACATTACAACACTTTAGTAATAATAGTGATATTTTCACCGTAATGATTTAGGATACACGATTTTGTTTGTTTGATTATCTGGCGCGTAAAAGAATAAAGCTGACGGTTTTTAAACGTGAAGGCAGGAAACATACAACTGTTCATGAGGAGCATTGGTTTTCAAGATTGACGTCGCAAACATTCAACGGCTGACCGTGGGATTTAATTATAGCCATAACCAAAGCAAGCCGCACTGGAAATTGCAGTTAATTAAATGCAAATGGTACGTCAGTAGGTACAAAGGGTGTGAATCTGCTCCCTTATATTTTTGTATTAGAATAATTGCTTCGATCGCATTGTTTAGTAAATTTTTCATTGCTAGCCGTAAACGGTAAACCGTAAAGATTATGACCACCGATCCTGCTTTTCTTTGAAGATTGTGAGGCGGCAATCCTGGCAAATCCAGTGTGTTCAAAAATTCTGGTTGATAGTTGACGACATCAGACAGATTAATATCCATGCAGTCTTATCTACTTGAAGACACCTTTGTTTTGTTATGATTGACGTCAAATATTTGACAGCTGGTGACAGATGTTTTAATTTACTGTGTGGTTTGTATGGGAAATAAAAAAAAAGGTTTTTGCGTTGTTCTGGGAAATTTTTTCAATTTTCCTCTTCGTAGTAGCTTTCCTCGGACTTCATAGAATATTAAAAAATACAAATTTTTGAAATTGATCCAGCGGTTCTCGAATTTTGGGCTCAGCAACACATTTAGCGATTAATTTTTATGTATATATGTAGATATACAACTCCCAATTTTTTTCTGAGGTGTTTAAAGAAGACTTAACTCGTCAAAAATTACTTGAGAGGGATAACAGTTCGTTTCGTTACTCATTAGATATAAGTATTCGCTTTATTGTACTGATTAGCACACATAATAGAACGTTGTTTATGTGTTTATAATATGATGAGTTAAGATTGCCGTGAGTAAAATTATCATAATCATAAGGTCGTCAGTCCTAAGACCGGTTGGACACGTACCTCCACTCTTTCCTATCCTGAGCTAAATTCCCATTTCCCTAAAACTAGAACATCCAACATCCTTAACTATCTGCGAACAGTAATCTAACCTATAGTAGTTTTACCTCTACCCTTCCTAACTCCTGTTTCTGCCTCTAATATGTCTCTGACTAGACCTGAATGCCTGAGAAGGTGTCCTACTAACCTATCTCGCCTATTTCTTATTGACTTCCATAGGGTCGTCTGGTCCCCTATTCTTTCGAATACCTCGTCATTTTTGACTGAGTAAAATTAATAAGAATTAATTACCTAAATAAATATACGAACTAAAATTTACACTTAGGAAACTTCATAAACAAAATTAATCAATAAAAACGTTTATTAACCTTTTTGTTAGAAAATTGAAACTACTATATTATACCCGGATTATAGTTTCGACCTTATTTGATCTCATCTGACCTACAAAGCCAGTTTCGATAAATTAAAAACTAACCGTTGAAGTTCCTAGAGAGCGAGTTTATGAAATGTTCAAGTGCAGACAGTGTATCGGCATTTGTTGGGTTTTTGCTGCTGAAATATTTCTTGCGGTAGACAGTAAAAGATGATACACTGCCTATACTTGGATATTATAAAGTGTTTCTGAAATAAAAGGGCAAGCTTATAGAAGATGATACAGCACCGTAAAACAAAAAATTAAGTAAATGTTTGCACGTCAGAAATTGTCAATACAAATTATTACACTTAAGTACAAAATGGGTTTAATTTAAGTTCAATACAATTTTAAAGTAAATACAATTTTTATTTTGCTCAGTCGACCTTTCGTGTCGGTATCGACTCTGAAACTATCTTTTGGTAAAAATCTTTGTAATTGCCCGTAATTATCAATCACAACCATCGTTACCTCTCAACTCCCGTTTTTTTCTCATGGTTATTGCATCTATACGATGTTAATTCCTCGAAGATCCGGTTTATGGCATGTCCAACCAACACTCCATCGAAATGTTTCCATTATTTACTATGTTTCTACATTTTTTAAATTTCCAGTTTCACGAAATTGTCTGCCTTGGTTCGTAGTGATTCTTAAAGGAGTGCCAAACACGACAGATCCATTTTTCGTAGAATGTTCGTGCGACTTTTTTATCTGCAATGGGAAAAGTTTCAGGCCCACGTGTTAATGTGTAAATATTTCCATACACGTAAGACAGTAACATTATGACTATGTTAATGTGGAGGTGGTCGAATTTTTCTAATGGCAATCCAAATGTGCCCAGGGTAGAAGAAGCATGTCCAGTCAATTTTGCTTTCTGACAAGGCAGGCATTCGCGTGCATATTTGGTACAGTCCTCCTTCGCTGGTGGCTAAATGAAGCAGTGTTACAAGTTTTATAGATACACATATGCTAGGATGTGACAGGGAATATAACTGTTTGAATGCAGCGAAACGAAATGTTGGGGTTAAGGGTCTTGTGCCGTACCAGTTGGAGTGTAGTAGAAAACGTCTTTGTTTGAGCCGGAAATGGGAATCAGTATTACTTGTAGGGATTGGTTTGAATTAAGATATTCCCATAGTATCCCATTTCTGCTCAGAAGAATAAACTTCATAATTAATAGATGTTGTTTTCTGAAATATTTTGAACATTTGTTGAGATTTATCTAATAAAGATGAGATGTCGTGACTGTCTATGGGGAAAAAATAAAATAATTCGAAGTGGTCTGTATTCTGTCGAAACTGCCAGACGCGGATGTAGGCTACATGCTACAGATGGCGTGTACTGCGCCATTTGTGGTATTTTCTAAAACGTACTGTTAAGACGGCAGGTAAAAGTTGGTCTGTGTTCTGTCGGAGCTGTCTGCGACGCGCTGATGAGATCCAAAAAGATCGAAATCGCGATCCGCGTCTGGCAGTTTCGACAGAATACAGACCACTTCGAATTATTTT